ATCACTCAAATAAAATAGGACAAAGTATGAAAAATTTCTTATTAATTAATTTCATTTCGGAAAAAATATGGTGACTGAAGGTAAGAAATGCTAAAATTAAAATGGGGGACTTAGGAAGCATTTATAGGCTACAAAGAATACAAATTTAAAATAAAATACATAACACTTAATTTATGATCTTAGAAAATAAATATTTTATTGCTAGCTATAAGTAGGCTTGTAAAATAAAAGCATTATTTACAAAAAAGAAGTAATTCACATTCTTTGACATAAAATTGAATTCATTTTCTTACGAAAAATCAAACTAGAGTAAACTTAATTGTAAAAGATTAGCCAAGGGTCTCAATTCTTGTTTCCGAAACGTGTGGCAATGCCTTTCCGTGGGGAAATGAATGGAATTAAGTTGCTGGACGTCTTTTACTGTGTTCCATATACTTCTCTCTAAAAATAAATTAAGCCTTGTTATATAAACAAAAATATTTTATCGTAAAAATGAATGAAACTACTCAATTAGAAGAAAAATATAGAATTTAAATATTCACTCTATTAAAAGGAAGCATTAAATCGAGCAAATATTAAAATATACGAGAGCTTGTTTACTTATAGAATTAAAATTTTTTAAGAAAATAACTAAGTAACAAAAAAATTATGAAAAAAGTACGCTTTAATAAAATAAATAATAGGCTAAATTTTTTAAATTTCTCAATATAAAAATCATTATAAATTCTTAAGTAATAGAATGATATTTTAAAAAACTTTTTTTTAAAAAAGAAATTTAAGCATCTCCAATTCAGATTTTTCAAAAAAAAATAAGTATGCTTTATCAAAAATAAATTAATAAAAAGGATCATCATTACGAAAAAAACTTTTCTTTAAAAAGTAAAAATTAAAAGTCTTAAACATAGGACAAGATAAAAATAATGTGCTTAAATCAATTGTTTATACCTTGCTTGCCTATGTAACAAATAGAATACTTCAGTTATTTCTGAGTATGCCATGAAAAAAATACATCATTGAAAAAAATGATATGTTTAATTCTGAGTAAAATAATAATAACCTAGTTAAGTTCTAGTTCTGTTGTTGTTTTCGTGTCCATGGATCTTCAGATAACATCAAAGGTCTGGACTATTGTGGCCGCTAGCTTTGGCGCCTCTTGACAAGTTCTAGTTCTTCCTAGTTTATTAAAAATGAAATGTAATAGAGATTGAAGTTCGAATAAAACATTTCATAGAGATATTAAAAATTATGTATAGTACTATGTGACAGGGAAAAAAATGCTATTGAAATAAAATAATCAAAAAATAATGCAACCAAACAAAAAAGCTAAATGTAATTTTTTATAGTATTATTTAATAGCAAAATTTAAATACCTTCTGATACCTCATAAATTTATTATTGCAGTGCCTTTTACTGCAAGTTATTTTTACAATGTGTAAAGTAAAAGAATCCTATATGAAAACTTGAAGTTGTCAAAAATTTCAATATTCTTTAATGTTACTAAATACATACTTCATCTTTTTTATTAAAACAAGAACACTTTTAAAAATAAATTTTTATAGAAACTAGTATCTGCAGCAAATAGCTGATCTGATAAACTAAAAATTTTAAAATCTAAAAAATATAATTGCAACAATAAAGTCAGAAGATCCATCAAAAGTTAAGACCCCATAATGTTAGTTCTTGAAAATTTTGTTTACATATATCATGAAAAATGATTATACGAATTGAAAAATTATAGTACATTATAAAACTTATTTATCCAAAAATGTTATGATGGCTAGATACAAAATATAATTTTTCATTATTTAATCTACTAATGATTAATAAAATTGCGAATCAGATTACTAAAAAATGTTAGTATGCCTAAAAGTAAACAATATTGAATGACTAAATAAAAATAATAAACAATACAGATTTAAATTTTATGGAGAATTAAAAAAATTACATTTTTTCAAGCAAAATATAACAAGTTTTTTTTTCTTTCAATAACTCAAAAACAAAAAACATAACTTAAAATTTTTTGATAGTTACTAAATTGAATAAATTGGGATAACTGTGTGTAAAATAAGATGTCCCTAGGATTGAGCATAAATTCTTATTATGCTGCCCATAAATTCTTATTATTTCTTCGATTTCTTTTTGAAAACCTCACTTTTAAATAAATTTCCAGTTTCCTGTAAGAACGTAAAAATCAGCTAAAATAAGAGGAGCACCAATTTAAAACGTCTAATTATAGGGCCAATTTTTTATGTTCTTATGAAAAATAGGAGAAATGGTTATTCTACATTCTATAAATCTTCAAGCAAGTTATTATTTAATAACTGTTACATTTTGAATAATATAATTATTAATTGAGCATGAATAACTTAGCTGACAATGATTTTTTTTAAACATATTACAGTCAAATCATTAATTTTACAGTAGTATTCTTAATTCAAAATGATTCGAGGATTCATTATGATAAAAATATATATATGATATATATTGAAGCAAAGCATGAAATTTACCACTAAAATATTTGAAGTGAACTTTACATTATATCACACCTTTTGAAAGTGAAATTGTTGCGAGCGTCACACTGGTAATTATATTCTAAAAGAAATATAAGTGTCCATCTTAGATTTAAAAATTAGCTTGATAGTTTGAAGAAAAATTTCATACTTATTATAGAGAACACCAAACTTTTTTAACTGATAAGTTTCATCAATATATTAAAATCAAGCGACTTTCTAAACTATTCAAAAACAAAATCGGTTTAAATTTTTTAGTGAGTATAGTTGACTCTCCTTTCTCTGAAGCACCCAAATTTGCTTTGATTCCAAAACAACTGAACCGATTAAACTTTTTGTGACATTACGAACTATGAATTCGGCAACGGGTTTCAACTCTAAATTGAGGCCCTCAAGATCTCAGGAATACAAACACGTCCAAAGTGAACGGCAACAACACTGTAAAATTTGCATTTATTTATGTTCTTTCTGATTTTCGGTATTACTTTTATTTCTCCATTTTATAAACTATTTTTTGTGATTAGAATCCGTTTTATTAATCATTATTGTTTAAAAATGGGCCACAAAAAGAATTATCGTTCTAAAAAACGAAAATTCACGGGCAATAGATATTCTGTGAAAGGCAATCAACCTAATGTTGACACCTGTCATGTTGAAGTGAGAACTGCTAGCTGTTCTAAACTTTCAGCTGATTTGACAGATTTTGAAGCTAAAAAACCATCTGCTTCAACTGGTGAACTATTTGGTAATCGAATTTTCGATTTGAAGACTCTCATATCAGTCTTTGCATTGCTGTGTTGCCCAAACTGTTTAAAAACAGAACTAACCTTGACAGAAGATTCGAGATTTGGTCTGTGTAGCAACTTTTCTCTAAGGTGCCAGAACTGCACATTTCTAAAAGGATTTAGTTCAACAAAAAAGGTGAAAAATTTAAATCAAATAAATTCTATAACTGTCTTTGCTCTCGGACTGATAGGGAAAGGATTTACTGCAGGCAAAAAATTGTTCGCTGTGCTGGATTTACCCTTCCTTTCTAAAATGACTTTTAGGAACCAAGAGCACCTGATTTTAAAGGCTGCAACCTCAGTTGTACAGTCATCTATGAATGAAGCTGCTTCAGAGGTGAAATTTATGAAAGGAACATCACAGCAAAAAGTAATCAACTGCGGTGTTAGCGTGGATGGAACGTGGCAAAAACGTGGCTTTTCATATTTGAATGGCTGTGTTGGTTGTCTGTCGATAGATACTGGAAAAATACTGGACTTTGAAATTATGTCACAGTTTTGTTGAATTTGTGGATCGAAGCAAAACACAAGTTCTGCTAAGAAATTGAAACACGTTTGTCGGAACCACCATGGTTCTTCTTCAAGCATGGAAACTGTTGGTACGTTAAATATATTTCAGCGCTCTAAGAAATTGCATGGTCTTCGCATCACATATTATAGAAACCCAAAATAAATATTACCGCTGTGGTGCCATCATCGACGATAAGCCACCGATATTTATCGGGAAAATGCTTGGCTATCACAATCCTTTTGATAGGAACTTGAAAATACTTGGCAATACTTTTTTTTAGATGTTTAGGACTAGAAGATTTGCTAGCATCCCAAACCATTTCTATCAGCTCAGTATAGGACTTTGAATCAGGTAAACGTTGGCACAGATTTAATACGATTGCTGACGGCCTGATAAAAAGAAAGAATAACATTTGCAATCAAGGATCCAACTTTGTAAGGAAAGGACAGTAAGAAATATACTTACATTAAGTCTTCTTCTTTATGTAATATTTTAGCTGCTAAGTTCTGGGAATGTATTTTTAATTTCCTATCTTAAAATACAAAATAGTTTATTTTCATTCATTTTAAAACAAAGTATGCCGTAAAAACACTTGGTAAATAAAGAATTCTAACAACCAGCAAAGATTATTGAAACTTCTTTCAGAAAAATTTTGCACAATATTAAAATTTTAATTTGTTTATATATATATATATCATTTGTAATATAATAACTAATTATACCTATCATAGTCATTTGGATAATATTTTGTATTCTATTTATAAAATTAAACATCTTTGACAAATTATATCTCCTTTAAATAACAAATCAAAAACAAAAAAAATTTAAATGTTGTACAATCAAACATGCACAATTTGAAATTAAATTAGTTGATATACATAATATTCAATGTTTGTGGGAAAAATTGCAGCTCAAATTCAACCGCTTCCCTTATGAATTCTTTTGGAGAGAAAAAATGCAAAACATAAACATATTTTTTCTTTTTTTAATGAAAATTCAGTAACCATCGTATATGCAATCGCACACAGCACGTTTTCAGTCCCACAATCCAACAGCAAAACCCCCATACCAACCTTAGCATCAGAAAGTCCTTCACAAAGGCAAAATTTCTCCCAATACTTGATCCAGGAGCTTTCTTGCCTTCTGGATTGGGTTAAAAACTACAAGGCTACAGAGTTGAGCATTAGTAGTCATAAACCCAAAAATTGGGTTAACTGTTCAATGATGGTTATTATACATATATTATACATACATATATTATACATATACCGTTAATGGTTCAAGCGTAAGAACTTTAGTTTTGAGATCTTCTAATGTTGCATCACTCGAGATTTCTACGTCACCCAAGTGATAACTTCTGTAGCTATCTTGAGAACTACCAAGACGGTGCAAATCTAGAAACAAAAAAAGATTCTATTACAACACTACATAATAAAATTATTGGTCAGGATAATGTAGCCAAATCTTCCACACAAAAAAATAAGCACATAGCTGCCAACATAGAGAGAGAAAAATCCAGTAGATTTTACGAAATAATATAAATTTCACAATAATTGTTGCATAATGTGCTAAATATTTTAGAAGTAGGAAATTCTAGGGATTTTCTTAGTCATCAAAGTAGAAAAACTGCAATATTCTATAGTTATGATTGGCATTAAACATACTTGAAATGTTATGTATTACGTTTACTCATAATTTCAAACATAGTTCAAAGATTTTTTAAAAGTAATACAAAAAGATTACTGTGAGTAAAAATAAACTGAACATTTTAGAACAAAAAAAGTTTTGGACTGATTTCTATAAATGAAGTTCACTTCATTATGTATTAGTAATACTTTTTAATTATTCAAGCAATAATCTGCACAAAAAATTAATTTCAAAAGGGATTTTTTAAGGAAACTCACTCAATTTTTGGAATTTTCTAAATTGTACAAAAACCAGGAGAATTTTAAATAAACCAGTAGACCAGGAGAAACTGGCAAAATCCAGCAGTCTACTGGAAAATCCAGTAGAGTTGGCAGCTATGTAAGCACCTTTAAAGTACATTTTAGGCACTCAAAAAATATATTTTTAAGCACAATATACATTAACAAAATTCAAAATAATTTTCAAAGACTTTACATGATAATGATATAATAACCAGTTTATATTTTCTTGATTAGCCATTATAAAATGCCTGAGAAATTATTCGGTTCAATATCAGAGGGTGGAAAATGAAGCCTGAAATTGAGAATATCTTGAAAAATGCAGCAGAGTTTCACATAAGAGTGCAATAATCTGACCAAACAAATTCAGTAGACGCACATGCAAACTTCCAAGTATTTCATCAAACTTGTAAAATTATTGGCACTTTCATACACTATGAACCGACGGTACGCTGAAATGGATTGTGGTTGAATGAATTGTGAAAATTTTGAATAGAACAATTTGAAAAGCACACTATTGCATATTACAGGATGAAAATAGACAAGTTTAGGAAAAAAATCTCATTTTCGAAAAGGGAAAATTAAGCACATTTTAAAAGCACCTTTAAGGGTTTTTAAAAAACAAAAATAAGCACTTTTAAGTACTTTTTAAAAATGCTATGCAACATGTTGCATTTATAAAATAAAGTAGCGATTCACCCCCTGCTGAAACAGTTTTTTCCTAGTTAATTACATATTAGCTCAAATTCATAAAAAGTAACGTAAAATTAAATCCTTCATGCTTGTTGACCCAATATAGATTTCTGGGATGTTATTTCAGTATCAGTGCTCTGTATTGTTTAGTAAATTAATAAACAATATTTATTACATATATATTTTTTAAGTTTTTAGAAAATGTATTATTAAGGATAGATAAAATAAAATGATTCTCACTTTCTATTCCATTACTGCTAACGTTAGATGAAAACATTTCCAAATTTTGATAAGAAAAAATGGAAAAATGAAGAATTTCTTTTGCAGGTTCTCGTCCCTCCAAACCATTGAAGTTATCCCCATCTTGTTTACCTACAACACAATATTATATCCTTTATTTTTACATAGTACTGTGCCCTGTGGCAGAATTTTTTCGGGCTTTCTGCGACAAACTTCCCTAGCACTAATATTTTGTTTTAAGATACTTTTAATTATAACAATTACTAATTTAAAGTAACATTGTGCATACAGAAGAAAGTATAGAATATAAATGTTTAATTGTAAAAGTAATATTTTTATAATTCTAATATCATATGCAATTTTCTCGCATTTTGTAGACGAAAAAATGCACTAATTATTTCCTCTTTCGATTTTTGTAAATCATTACACAAATTAAAATTCGTAAATAAATGAAACAATAATAAACTAAAATTTGTACACAAATTAAAAATCGTAATTTGGCAGCAACTGCCAAAATAAAGATCACTTATCATGCGAATAGGACTACTTAACAAAGAGATTGTCAAATAAGACTTTTTAAAAGAGAGATTCTCAAATAAGTGTGTATGTAAAATATGGAGTTCTTTAAAGGAAAAAAATGAAAGAAAGAACCTAATTTCTTGAGCGAACCGTCTTTTAAACTTTCGTGATTTAAGAATTTTTTATTTTAGATTATCATTTTGAAATTCTACCTGAAGTCACTGCCGATATTTTTTTTAAAGTCTCAAATGATAATTGAAAAATCCTGATTATTTCTTTCCTCTCTGATGCGCAAGAAAAACATATTTGAAAAAAATTCTGCAGAAAAAAAAAACTTTTTTCAAGAAATTATGCTGAAAAACAGGGAGCGTAGCCAAATTTTGTTAACAAGAAATAAACACTTTTTAAGCATTTTTCAAGAACTCAAGAAATATTTTCAAGCACTTTGAAAAATTTCATAATTCGACAGGTTAGCAAGTTTTTGAGAATTGATGGTTGCATATGGTTTTATTTACAGTGACGAACACGATGGCGCAATACAAACGATTAAATTAATAAGAGAAAGGAAGTTTTCGATCGCTGGAATTGAATCAATTTTCTCTCTCTATTGAGAGAGAAAATTGACAATGTTTAGTTGGTCCCCGTAATCAGCAAAAATTCTAGAAATTTTTTGGTTCTATTACAAAGGATGGAAAATGAAGTCTGAAATTGAGAATCTCTTGCAAAATGCCGCAGGGTTGCACATGAGAGATAAAATTCTTTACCACTGAAACCAGCTCAGTATAGGCAAGTGCGGACCTGCAAGTATCACATCAAGCATGTAAAACAAATGGTGTTTTCATACACTGCAGACCAGCGGTATGCCGAAATAGATTAAGGTTGAATTAATTGTGAAAATGTTGAATAGGGCAATGTATTTTGCATAATTTGTCGCAAAAATCAACAGGGTAAAGCAAAATATCACATTTCAGAAAAAGGGAAAATTAAGCTCTATTTAAAAGCACCTTTTAGGTCTTTTAAAAAATGAAAGTAAGCACCTTTAAGCACTTTTTAAAAATGCTACGCACCCTGTAAAGCCTAAATTTTCACCATCCCTAATGAAAAATCTTTCTGTAAAAACTATGTAATGCTCTGCAACAGTGTTGCCGTGTCACCGCAATTCTGCCACCACTGTAATGTTGATTTTTTTTTATATTCCTGTACAAGGAAATATCACATAAATATTATATTTATATATTAACAATGATGTAAATAAGTTCCTTTATAATAGTTCTGGCAACTAACGCAAAATACAAAAATTTTTTGATTAGAAGAGGAGAAAAACAGAAGAATTTCATAAACTATTAATGGAAGTGTCACTAATAATAATGTACTTGATTATTGAGGAAAAAAAGTTTCAGGTAAAGGGCATAAAATTAGTTACAAAATTCATGCTTAAAATTTTTTGGTGGGATTTTCAAAATATTCCTTAAAAAAATTAAAATGTTGAAAAAAATGATTTTGTCAGCATGTTTTTAAAAAAAGCTATTAAATTTTTTTTTGCAAGTTATGTAATGGACATCGACCATGTAAGGGCTTCAAGTTGCACACCTCTACATTACATTAATCAAAATATATGTGTTTAATTTCCGATAACTTGTTTTATTACAGTACACAGTAAATTTAATTTTCAAAATGATTGTCAATTAAGTGCTAAAGTAATGCAATAAGTTCCTTACAACTAGAGCCAGGATTTGGATAACCTGAAAAATCTCCAAAAGCCCATAAAAATGTAAGTAATGCCCCATTAATTATATAACAAATTTTGAAATAAATGTTTATGAAAAAAATAATAAAAAAAGAAAACATATTGGTACTCAAACATAATAATAAATGGAAAAAGATATATTCCAAGAATGTAAAAATACTCTAAAATGCAAAAAAAAAAAATCTTAAAATCTAAAAAATACAAAAAGAGACAAATTCAAAAAAATGCATATATCATCTAAATTCAGGCCTTACTTAAAACATTCAGCCTCATTAGTTTTCTACAAAGGTTTTAATTTATTAAATCTTCTAGAAAAATGAATTCTTTAAATCTCTAGATGTATTTTATGTACAATTCATTTGCATTATATAAAAGCATTGCAACGTATAAAAATTATTTTTCGAAATTTAGCTTCAATTGAATACATTATATTTCTTTAGTCCATTAATTGACTTTTACCCCTCCTAAATTACCGTGGAAAAAAAATTAGGTGGTCAACTTTTACATTCATTGATAACTACATGAATTAACAAGAAAGTCACAAGTGAAATTATTATTATTGAGGCAGAACGTATGGCAGCTTATTTAACTTAACTACTAAAACCATATTTTTCGATTTGCAGGTACTAACCCCATATTTTGATAGAGAAAAATTAGAATCCACCAGTAAAAAGTAATATTCAGTCAGAGAAGATGCATATTTTTTAGTGTCGAAGTTTTCTTTCTCATACTTGTTAAAACTAATTAATTAGCACATTTGAGGTCAAACTTATTAGCCATTAAGATTTTACAAACAATTATAGGGTATAATCAATGCTCTGTATAAGTAAAAGAAGCTGAATAAAGAAACGAATGGTCATATTATAGAAGCTGTAAAATGCGAGAATATCACCAATATCATATTAGATAAAAAATTATATAGTTTATTCTTTTGTAAACACAGAGCTTTTGTTATTTTAAATTAGTAACAAATATGTTTGTTATTATTAAAAGTATCTTGCAGAACAATATTAGTGATAGACAAAAAGCTTGTTTTCCTGTGTTAGTTTAGATAACAATATAAAAGCAGTTTACTATATAAAAGAGACATATTTAATTTGATAATAAATCAAGATGATGAAATTACCTGCAGTTTTTTCTCTATATTTGAAATACCATTTAGCGAACTTGAGACATGTCTTATGACTGATGGTATGCACGTATTTGTTCCTCAATATTTTGGAAATCATACCCTAAAATAATAGGTAATAATTATGTTTTAATCATTGTTATTGAACTAACACATTTCAATTATAGAACATTACATAAATACATTGAAATAGATATATATTGTTTTAGGTAACTTATGAAAAAGTTGCTTGTATAATAACAAAATCGTTTGGAAATGATTAAACAGTTTTCCAAAATTTTTTTCCTATCTTTGTTATATTGCATTTAACATTAATGTTAAATTTATAGTCGTAACAAATCATGGGCAAATATCATAATACATACAAACGTTGGTTGCAAAAAATTTGTAATTATCTCGGAAAATTTTACGGTATTACTCATTATATATTTAAAAAAATAGAACTATGTTGAAATAGAATGGTTAAAATAGAGTTTGACAGTCAGCATCAAAGATAAAATTAACAAGTGTGATTTTTATAAAAATATTTATTAAATATTAGCATTCTAACTTTCTGATCGACTTAGATTTTAGATATATAACGAAAACCAAACATAAGGTAAAAGGTAAGTCAATAACTAGTTTTATTGTTAAAAAACTGCTAAATTTAAAGAAATATATGCTGGGATAGTAATCCATATAAAATTTTAAAAAATTCTTAATTTTCAAAAATTTTTTGCTAAAATTAAGTTGACAAAAGGGTTGAAATTGGGTGAAGGGTTGATTGTTAATAAATTGTTTGCAGATTTCTTTTCTTTCTTTCTTTCTTAGATTTTGAGTTCACAGAGAGTTTTTCATTTTATCAAAGTTTGATCATAGGTTACACCTCTCAAATTCATGAAATTCGGTAATATACTGTATCTGTGAAATTTTTGAAACATATCGTTTCTTGAAGCAAAATAACAATTGTGACAAATCTATTATCATTCAAAGCTTTCAACAACCTTTTCAAAAAAAAANTTGACAATATTTTTTTTTAATTTTAACATTGTTGAAAGATTGAGTAGATGAAAATTCTAAAAGATGTTTTTTGAATTCAGTACTTTAAGTTTATTGAGCCTTATCATTAATTCACATAATTTTTGAAGGATAGGCATAATTGTATAGATATAACATACACAATATCAGGGGAATAACAATTTGATTCTCACTCAATGATTTTCGTAGATTGCTTCCATTTACATAAAGAATAACTTACTTATTTTTTAAAAGGAAGAAATCATTAACATGTATTTCTAAAAATACATGTTAATGCCTTCTTACGCTATTAGCAAAATGGAAACAAAATAGTGCTAAAAATTTTGATCAGATTTTAACATACTATGTTTCTTGATACACCACACACTTGTTGATTAAATATTTAAGACTTTAAAATCATAAGATAAAAAAAACTTAACTTTCTTGTAAGCTTTCTTCTATGCTCGATCGAAAAACAAGATAAGCACACGGCTTTTAATTAAAATAAAAAATTCAGAAAGTTCTACAAATAAAGACTATGCTTTGCCTTTCAATAGGTGAAGTCTATAAATCCAGTTTCCTACCACTTAATTAAACTGATTTTGTTTTAGCATTTGCACTCTTGATGTTTTAATTAATTATCATAAGAAAGGTTTTTTAGAGTTGTGCTCAAATATTAGTTGGAAAATGCACATGGTCTTTTGTACTATTGCCCCATTTTAATATGGTACCAAGAGAGAGATTTTTGTAGGCTATTTCCCAACAGATATTACAAAAGAATTTTGGATTTTTTCCGACTCCTCTAGCATCGAAAAACTCTACTATTACTTAGCACTGTCTTCTACCCAGGTCTGAGAAATTTGAACACTTGACAAAATAAATTAATGTAGCACCTCATATTTGTTTAAATAAATTAATATTTTTCTTAACTCTACATTATATAAATTAACGTTGTTATATAATGTTATATAAATTAATGTCCCTTAAATAATTAATGTCTTATACACCTGGTGTACAAGTCGATCCATACTTTTGATCACGAGATAGCAGATTTCTGCTTTGTCGGTATTATAAGTCTACCACTCCACATAATTCATTCCACATAATTTTTCGGCATTGAGAATCGGACAAGCAATAGTTGATTTTTCTACTGAGCAGAGAGTGTTGTTTCTCGGCTTTCAGTTGGCAGATTCACCAGGTCTTAAACATAAACTCTCGGAGCGTCTTGTTAAATTGTGGTTTACCTATTGTAGAACACATTCAGATTTTTTTGAAAGGATATAAACAAATACTTTCAAATTAAAACACTTTTAATAAATTCCGTGATCTTCAAATGAAATTCGGCAAAATGAGAGGGTGACAAAAGATTTTGGGTGTACGTAATTTATCTACGTCTGCAATTTTGTTACGTTTGATTGAACATGGGGGAAAAGAATCCTTCCAACTTTTCCATCTACTAAGTTTCAAGAATGACTCAGTCATTTTTGTTCAAAAATGGCAGAGAAAGCAAGCAAAGTTTTCCCCAGTTTTCTTCAAATGGAATAAGAGATTTGAAACTATACAGCTAATTATAATCCTACTTAATTATTGAATAAAAAATGGTTGTAATTTAGCTGTTCCAAGTAATTTCCGAATTCCAAGTAAAAATTTGTATTTCCACTTCACTTTTTTTTAAATTTTATTATATTTTCAAACAGTATAGTAATGTAGTTTTCTTTTACTACCCTTCCACATTACCTTTGATTGACGGTATCATAATGAAAACTGCAGATTTGTTCCCAACAAACGTATGGCATTTATTGATGGAATAACTCATATATTTTCCATTTCAGGTTTGAATATCTTTACGTTTGTAAATATTGTCTGCGTGTGTGGTTAATTTCAGATAATTTCATTTTTCAGTCTAAATATCTGTACTTTTCTAAATATCGTTTGCTTATTAATTGAATTATTCTCTCTTTTGTTTTTGGCAACTATTGGAATGTCATGTTTACTTTTGATGTGTTTGTTCTATGTACTACTTTTCTATGTGATGTTTTATTCGAACGGATATTAAGGAGAATACATACAAGAGAAAACACAGATTTTATGGTAATTCATAGAAACGAAATCGATAGTGCAAGCACAGGGAAATTGCAGAAGAATTTATCAAAATGATCCTCCATCCAAAAGCAGCAAAGAATTTTCTAGGAACTGGAAGTATCGCAAATAAGAAATGTTCTGGACGTCCCTGCACAAGTGATTTTGACGTTGAGCATGTCAGACAGACATTTTAGACAATCCTAAAAGATCTGTGAGATCAGCGGCAAGAGAATTGGATATGCCAATTTCGACGGTGTACAAGGTTATTAAGAAACAACTAAGACTGCATGCATACAAAGATCAAATTGTTCAAGGTTTGGAACCGAATGATAGGCCTAGGAGGATGGCGTTAGCAACAAATATGGTAGGAAGGATAGAAGATGATACTGATTTCCTGAAGCTTGTGGGATCTGAAAACCGCCATGAATACCGTGAGACACAAAGGGATTCCCCAAAGGTTAATGCGTGGTGTGGACTCGTGCATGACCGAGTCATTGGGCCTTTCTTTTTTACAGAAAAGACGGTCTCATCAGTCGTATACTTAGACATGTAGGAAAACTTTGCATTTCCACAACTAGGAGAGCTGCAGCCACATGTCTTTTTGCAACAAGATGGTGCACCACCTCATTTGGGGTATCATCGTTCGAAGTTCTTTAAATGACAATTTTCCGGGAAGATGGATTGGGCGAGGAGGTCTAATTCATTTGCCACCCAGATCACCTGATATAACACAGCTGGACTTTTTCTTTGGGGATTTATGTTTACAGGAGGATCGTCTGGAACATTGATGACCTAAAAGCCACAATTACGACCGCAATAGCCTCTGTAGATGCCGACATGCTTGTCGCTACCTGGCGTGAAATTGACTTTCGACTTGATATTCTCCGTGCGACAAAGGGTGCACAGGTGGAACTTCATTGTCAAGGGTCATGAAACTTTTTGAATCTGTCTAACAATTTATGTTATTACTTTTAATCTATCTTTATTATCTTAAGAGTTATTAAACATCAAAATGGGTTCGGGACTTTATTAACACCCTGTGTATTAAAGTTTACTCTCAACACAAGGGGAGAAAAAAAATTCACCCACCTTTCCTTCTACTAAATTTCAAGGATGAATATAATTTCCACATTTCGCTTCTATCATTTAAATCAAAATGGTGGGATAATGCGAACATTTTTTCCTAATTTTTTGGATAGTGGATAAAATCTTCTATACTATAGTTTTTAATTGGGTTTTTATTTTTTTATAACAATAAATGCATAAAAGTTATAGTAAATAAAATTAAATTTATAGATATACTCACGTGAGAAAGAGGGCATAACTTCCCAAGTTCATATTGATGTATTTCATCAGCAAGTTTAAAAATAACTCCTCTTACAGTTTGATCGCACCATTGTTCAGGATTCACTGGGATACTAAACAAAGAAAATAATTACAATTTCAGATGAAAATTCATTGCTATACATAGAGGTTAATTATAACAAATGCTTTGACCAGGGATGAGAGTAGTCAGAAAGTAAAAAAGAGGAAATTTAAGAATGATTATATGCATATATACACAAAAATTTGACAAATAAAGTGCAATTTTTAAACTTGTAAACCACGTGATTATAAATTCCGATGATTAATTTAAAAATTTTATGAATCCCGATTTGAAACTATATCGAATTTTAAGAAATGCGAAAATACAAATCATGATGCGTGATTTTCAGATCATGTAAATACGAAAATCGATGTTTGATATTACAATCGCTAAAACGACTCACAACATCGGAATTTAAGCTCACGTGAATACAAATCGCTACATAGGGTTTTAAAAGAGCATAAATACAAATCGCGATATTGATATTTTAAATCTCATAAATAATAATCGCAATGTACGATAGTTAAACCGCCGGAATAAGAATCGCAACGTTCAACTTTTAAATCAGGTTAATGAGAAAATCTATGTTTGATAGTAAAATTGCGATTTTAAAAATGCATAAATACAAAACACGATATTGGATTTTTGAATCTAGTAAATTTTTTTAGTTTGCTTTCATGCCAGACAACAAGGTCACGACGTCTGAATATGAATAAAAATACGAGCTATCAGGCAGACAAATAAAAATGCAGAAAATCTTATTTTCTGTGCGTAAAAGCGGAGAAAATAGCTAAAATAAGTAAAAATACGGAAGGGTTAGCAGCTAGGACTTAGTTTGATTTTTCTGTTTATCTTTAAAAATCGTAATTAAATGTAATTATTTTATTTCAGCGACTGAATTTTCAAACAAAAAAGAAGCGATATTTATATATAAAAAAAAAAAGAAAAAACGAAACTTTTAGAGAATTTGAGTTTTTGATAAAAAGGCTGAAATTGGAGAGGCAAAAGCAAAAAAAATCTCATCCCCTTATTAAGGTCAACCAGTTTTATCCCAAGGAAATGATTTTAAGAGAAACTTTAGAGGGAGGAATGAAGACTTCAATACTTTCGCTCCACGGAAATTAAATTCTTCATAAAATATTTTAACTTGTTAAAAAAAAATTTCGCTGAAATTAGCGGAAAAAATTTAAAAATCTGAAATAAAGTGGAAATCCGCGAAAGAATCACATCCCTGTTTCACAGAATATGTTCATAAGAGAAAAATATTAATATTTTAGTAAATATTTTATTAGTTAAATAGAACAAGTAAGAGAGTGGCAGAAAAACTTAATACAAGAGTTCGCTTGTTCATACAAGGGAAAAACTAAAGTGTGCAAAATATAAGTGGCAAAAATCCCTAATTCTACTTTGACTATCTTAGTCTTTTCCTCCTTAATCATTGGTGTACATTGTATGTAATAGAAAGCGGACTGTAATGGTTTTATTAAACATTTATTAAACAAAACTTAATAAAACAAATGAACTATATACACGAAAAAAATTATTATGACTGCTGCAATAGCAGTAAACAATGAAAAGTAGCCAATGAGAGAGCTGACAAGTGAACTTCCTTGTTCAAAGTTCTTGAGTAAAAAAATGCCTGCTTCTCTGATAGAGATGCAAAGTGGAGTGCGATAAAGGTAAAACGCATAAGTGTATATTTTTGATATCTAACAACTGGAAAAAAATTAAACTATTTTGTTTTTTTCTAATTTTGTACACACCAACGTGTCGTGATGGGAGACCTATAGCATGGTCAATATTTTAATTGAATAATTTGTGAATAGTTTTTTTTAATAAATGATTTAATCAAAGAACAATTAACTGGCTTTTAAACTATCGCTGTACAATAATTTGTTAAATGGAAAATTTCTTGATAAGTTATATTTTGTTATTATTGCACTACCAAAGTCAAGTACGGTTTCTTAATGTGGACCTAAGTTAGTTAAAAAAAATATAAAACATAAATAGTTGCAGAATATTCTAAAAAGAATTATTTAAATTAATTAAATAAAAGTATTTTAAATTTTTTTTAAAAATGAAAGTGGAACACATACAAATCCAGGCAAGGTTCTTCAAAGCTTGTTGTTGTATTGCATTGACGTGACCTTCCACTTTCTGGGTCAGGAACTACCAGGCGTTCTGAAATAATATATTGAAACATGAGTGTATCCTTAAGATAATCCAAGATTTGAAACAAAAAGAATGATCTTTAATTGTTCCCATAAATTATATGTAATAACAGGGGTGGGATTTTGGATGTTCTAAACTGGTTTGGAACAGGACAGTTTTACTGTCTTAAACTGTCCTGAAATGTATTAAAGTTTCCAAAACCTTGGTAAAAGGTAAAAATCCAATGCGTTTAACCATTATACACCACAAAATAATTACATATAATAAATATTTAATACTTTTTATACAGTTTGTTTTAATTTAATAAAGGAAAAGAATATAAAAGGAGAAGATTTATAATTTTGGAAGTTTTACAAGTCATTGAACAATAAAAGTGATTACCTTTAAATATAAACAAATATGTCTTAAATACTGATAAATTATGTTTTTGCATAAGGATAAATAATGATACATTAAAGATAATAATAAACTTTTTTAACAAAGCAAAAAATGTTCTTCATTTTGTTTCTTGTTCAAAAATTAACATTTATTTTGCAAAATACTTTTTTTAAAAATGTGACATAGTTGGATTAAATAGGTTTTGGACAGGACAGTTTAACTGTGAATTAATCCATTCTGTCTTAAGTCTAGCAAACTCTGTTTAAAAACAATCTATTTTTGGCACATGACAGTTGTTGGTAATTTTATTTACAAGTAAACCAGAATTTCTTTGTGAAAAAAATGCAGCCAAAAATCTCCGATATTATGATTCTGTTATTTGTAAAGCCATCTCTTAAACTACATTGCCTTATGTTTGTATTGATAAATATCAATTGATATTGTTCATTTTTCATTCAAAAAATTAAAGTACGGGAATGATGAAGTTTTCATGAAGTGAAGTTTGACACCGCTGTAAAATTAAAAAGTAGAGGGCAATACCAAATAATAAAAAACAGCCATTAATTTTTTTTTAATTGAACTAACTTTGATCTTTATGGAAGGAGAAAATCAGAATTTATGATGTTAGGTAATATCAGAGAGAAAGTCATTGTACACTTTCTTTTAATTCAAACATTTTGTTTGATTCTAAAATATAATTGAAAACCAAATTATGAATACATTGAAATGAAATGATTTTATATCACCAACTATCTGATAATTCATGTGCTCTTATTTCATGTGCTATACGTACCCTTAATAGACTTTAGAGGACTGTATGGCCATACAGGTGTCTTGATTGTAGATGTTGAAGCATTTATTTCTTCTGAGCCTAAATATAAAACAATTCCAATTTCAGACTAAAAATAATTTATGTACAACATAAAACCTCTTAAGAGATACAACCTCTTGAGAGGTTTACTAATTCTGTTTATTGGTTACATACATATTAATCCTGTTTATCATTTAAATATTATTAGAACATTTTTTAAATGAAAACTGTTTTCTCCATTAAACTTTTTGCCATTCTGTCACGGCCATTCCGTCAAAGATGCTAGCTAACTTGAAGTTAATTTTACAAATTTGCATTTTACATTGCTTACACATTATACTAAAAGTAAAAAATAGTTCAGAAAAATAATAGCTGCAAAATTCTCAGAAGCTACCAGCTCTAAGCAGCATGCCAAAAGCTTGGTTGCCAAAATGTCATTTGTCACACAAATAAAAAGCTCATAAAATTAAAATTTTAAAAAAATAGAAAATTCTTTTTCTTTTTTTTTTCAGTTTAGGAATCACATTATGCCAATAATAATGATTTACATGAGGAAAAACTATGTTTATTTGAGATTAGATGCATCGAAACTTCATTCACTTATTATTTTGCAAGTTAAGATGTCATTCCGTCACATATGGAATTGCCCTTCTATAAACAATAACAAGACGGCAATTATTACTACAACTTGAGATAGAAATTCTTTACCCTTTTGTTCCTCATGATTATTAGTTTCTGTCAGAAACACTGATTTGGCGCTTTCATCTTTTTCGGGGATTTTCACATTCTGGGATCTGGGAGTTTCCTCTAAATCATCAGAACAATATCTAAAAAGACAATGATCATGGGAAATTACAATGAATGCTCAATGTAAAAACCTCCTAGTGATGGTTGCAAAAAACCCACCCTAAAGTGAGTTTTTCTAAAATATGATATCTTTTTAATCCACTATTATATTAAAGAGCGGTTCTATTGAAATATATATGCCGTCTAGCAGAATATATATAGGCAGAAATAGGTGTTATAACCTGAGGCCGCTATATCGTGAATACATTAAAATATAGCAAATATTTAAGACATAAAAACCATAATTTTTTAATCCACTTTTTTAGCACTTATGTGCAGCTTATAAATTATTTAAAACCTATCAACACTTAGAAACAACTACTTACATTGTTGAAGAATTTAGTTGATTCACATCAAGGTAATTTACCACTGCATCTAAATCACAAACCAATTTTTGCAAAGTTGGGGCCAAGTCTTTAACTTTGTCGTGAGCTATCTGCCGAAAGAAAATATTATAAGCATTTGAAGTTTTGCATAATCTGTCAGTAAAAAATTTGAAGTAAAACATTTTAATCTCATATATTTTTTAATGCATATAAATTACTAAAAATTAAAATTAATTAAACAAATTTTCTGGTTTTTACATTATAAATTATATAATTAAAGAATTGCATAATTTATTTACTATACTACATATTATATATTTAAGTTGGTTATTTAAATACATAAAATATATAATAAATCTTTTGAAAATATCGAAAGAAAAGAAAACATGTTTTTTTCCTTCATTATTCCCAAATAAGAATTAAAAAAATCACGAGCATTTCTCTTCCCTCTGGTGTGCAAAAAACGCATCTATTGAATATAATTATGGAGGGGGGGAAAGTATCTTTAGAACATTTATGCAGGAAAGAATTTTTTTTTACTTCATTCTTCTCAAATAAGAATAGAAAAATAACATTTTCCCCCTCTCATGTAAGAAAAAGGCTTTCTTTCACTGACCTGAGTCAAAACCTGTCCTTCACAGTGACCCGACACCCCAACTAGGAATAGTTATTCTGCGTTACCATAGTCATCCCCACGGGACCAGATGTATGGCATGGGGAGTTCTTTAGATAAACTATAAATTAATAAAAACTATAAATGGACAAAAATTTATAGTCATTAATTCTTAAAGAAGGGAAGGCAATTGGCACTGAGTGAAAAAACACGTTACAAGTTTACATCTTTATTTTGATCTGGTATGTTGCCAACAAGAAAAAGCATATAAGGAAAAATGAGCTTTTGTAAACTATAAATAAAGGGAGAAGTTTATAACTTACATGCTCGGGTATTGATTTCTATTACTCCTCCTTACCAGAGCATAAAAAAAATTATACTGACAAAAATCTGCTACCTCAAAAAATTATAGTTGACAAGACATAAGAAAAATGAGGTAATACTTCAAGATATGTACACAAAAATATAACCAGTGGATGATACTTCTAACAAAAACATACAAAAGTTAAGCTGGGACATATAATTCAAAACAAGAAAATTCCATTATATTTAGAGATAAAAATAGATGCACTTCAAAGAGTAAAATAGAAGGGATAATACTCTAAAAGAAAAAGTTTAGTACAAAAGCTTAAAAATGGCAGGCAATCTTGATTAAAAACAGTTTAGAATGTACTAGGTAAAACAAAAAAAATACTGATAGAACTAGGCTTCATATCAATAAGTTAAAAGAAACATATCACAGATAATTGGAATGCATATTACAATTAATCCTTAAAGCCAAAATAAGTTCTTAAATTTGTTAAACCCTTCTTAGCAACATTCTTAGTTAGAATGTTTGCAACAATGTCTTTCAAAGGGATATGTATAAATTTAATGGCTTTCTGTTCGACCAAATCACGAATAAAGTGATACCTGATGTCGATGTACTTACTGCGTTCAGATGTTATCTGGTTCTTTGCGATGAGCATGGCAGCTTGATTATCCACACTGATCCTTATTGGCGATGACACAAAGGTTTTCATGCCCAGTCCCAACAACAAGCTTTGAACCCATTGCACTTCCTTACTAATATGAGTCACTGCCAAATATTCTGCCTCGGCAGAAGACAAGGTGAGTAGTTGTTAGATCCTGCGAAGATACTTTTTCACCAAATCTAAAGAGCATGCGCAATACGTTCCTAAATGACTTGTATTACGATACTCTTTCACCAAATCTAAGCGCATGGGCAATACGTTCCTAAATGACGTATATTACGAAGCTTGAGCTTGGCTATTTGGTTCTATTCCGATATATTTTGTGCAAAATTAATTTTTAAAAAGCATACACAGCAGCTATCTTGTACTAAATTGTTTTCGTCGTATTTCTGATACTTTTTCTTATTTCATTATTTTCTATTTTATTATTCGTTATCACATGTTATTTATTTATCTTGTGGATTGAACTTGCAATGTAATTTTATGTGAAGAATGCTTAACTTTATTTTTAAAATACATATCCAGCAGCTACTAAATTGTTTTCGTCATATTTCTGATACTTTTTTTTTATTTAATTATTATTTGATTGCTTTTTATTTCGTTTGATCTCCACTGGTTGCAAAATGTAAATAGAATGTTAAATTTTTTTTTGCAGAACAGAATACTGCTGTAATATAAATTACTAATATTACTGTTATTACTAAAGAACTTGTTAAAAATACTTCCGATTCACAATCATTCTAATGACATTAAATTACTTACTTAATAAAATGTTTAAAACTTGCAATTGTTTATCAATGCATAGTTTATTTCTCTTTTTGTTTGTAATAAAAATATACTTTCCTAACTTGATTTTAAAAACATATCCAAAAGGTGCCAATTATTAAACTTCAGGTATGAAACAGGGCGGCCACTCAAATCACGTTTCAAATTTCTATGATTTTTCCAGTAAAAATCTTACAATTTCCAGCTCAGCGTGTTTTTTTCTCTGCTAAAGTGTAGTATAAGTACGAGAAGAGTGTCAATATTAGTGTATAAGTCAACATAATAATATCATTTACAATGTTACTTTTTTAATATATCACCTTGAATAGATGTGGAGAAAACAATAGCTTGCAGAAAAGAACGCTTTTAATGAATAAAATTTTTTTAAGTGTTCAATAGTTTTTGCACAAAATTTACCAAATAGCAATGACCCAAAACAACCTTGAATAAGTATTGTTTAATATATTTTTATTAACCAAAAAGAAAAATAATAATTTCAGGTGATTAGAAACCAGTGAATTTTTATATTTATTTACATTTCAATATAGAGCCATTTTATACTGTACTTTATCCAAACTGTGCTCTGTCTAAAATGGATTGAAATAATTTTCTTTAAATGTTTAATTAATGTTTTTGCTTCGAATTAGCACTATTATTTTAAGAGATATTCAGTATTCATAAGGAACAAGATGAGGCCTAAACTGTCGACTGCTATCTTAACCAAACTATTGGTTCCATATTTCCTAGATAGCGACCATCATCACCCTATTTCGAAAGTCAGGAATCTAAAATGCGTGACTTTTTATTCAGAGAAAGTATGTTTTTATATCTGATTTCGTAACCTAATGTATCTTCTGCACTAATTAAATATCGTAATTGAGATCGAATCCGCAAGTCATTAGGATTGAATACTATTAAGTGAAAATCCGATCTTTTGATCAACAGTTATTCAGGTTGAGACTGCTTTTTTGTGCAATGTGCATGGAATATTACACATCATTCGAAATTTGATTTAATTTGATTTTTCCTTATTATAATTATATTTTTAAGATTTTTTTTTTAATACTGATAACAATTTAATAGCCTTCCAAATCAGAAAAATCCCTCTCAAAACTCAAAAGATCAATCAAAAGGTAATCAACAACCTTGCTAGAAAAAACAAAAGATTTTTCCATCTTCTGATGATATGATTGAATATTTCGCCGATTTAATCTTTCGCCGAATCTTTTTTTTAAATAGACTTTCTCTTTTTTAAACTTATTGTAACAATGTTTTTTAAATTTAACAAATTTGAGAGTCCTGTAGGTCTTGCAAAATAATAAATACACTATTACAACTTTCATTTTACCTTCTTCATTAATAGTGATTGTGTAAGAAATTTGTTGTAGTAAAATTTATCAATGTTAGACAACGAAAAAAAAAAATCCCTTCTCCTTTTTAAAATTTCTATTTACTTACTTTGAAATAGCCGCATTTAATATTAATAAATAGAAAAATTGTATAGTAAATATATTTGTAAGATTTTTTTTGCTTAATTTATATTCTTTATTTAGGTTGTCTATACATAATTTATCAATTCTAATTTAATTTAACTGAAATTAAATTTAATTAATAAAATATTGGTTAAACTTAATGTCAATAAACTTCATGTTTTGTTTATTCTGAAGCAGGGCCAGATTTAAGCTTGGTGGGGCTTTAAGCTACTGAAAATGACGGGGCCTTTTTAAGTTCAATTCCATTTCTATACACCTAAAGTAAACTGTCACTATTTTTTATTGTTGAGTATTAAGATTATATTATTAAAAAATTTGATAATAATTATTTTATTGTTAAATATATTGTAGAACGTTAAATATATTGTAGACTTTTGTGTAGAACTTTTCTTTTATTGCAGATATTTTTTGAATGAGGATAAAAACTTACAAAAGAAACATATTTTAAGCACCGAGTAAAAATTTGGTGATTTATAATTGTGTTGATGTTTATAACTGTTTTGATGTTTATAATTGTGTTGATGTTTATATTAGTAATTGATGTTTATATTAATAAAATTTTTCTGTTTTAAAATAATGATGCTTTATAATTAGTTGATTCCATGGGATAATTATGCTGCGAGCTAATATAGGATAAGTACCCCATTTTTTTTAAATGATGCTCTTTAAACACATTAATTTTTAATTGCAAAATAGTCTTAGCATTTATAATATACATAACAATTTAATTACCGCGGTATATCATAATATCGTGATATGAAGCTCACAATATACCACAATATCGAAATTCTGACATTGCCCAGCCCTAATGTTTATATTGAAAATATTTCTTCATTATTTTTTGATTTCTTTTTAATTATTTTAAGTACATTTGTTAAATTTTAGTGCAAGAAAAAAATTTTTCATTATATATGTAAATGTTTGGCTTATATTTTTAAGGATTTATTAAAGGGTCTATAAAAAATCAGAGAGAATAAATGTCATACGGGTTTAAAGTATCAGCTCTGCTCTATATGGTGTATAGTGGCTAGGATGTGAAAGAGCAACTGTCCCGGACATCCAGCCAAAATGAGCATTCAACACATCAATGGAACACACTAAAGCTTTATATCAATTAGCAATTAGTTTTAGATAATTACAATTGTAGAATAATTATTTTATTATAGAATGAAATGTTTTAAAAGACAAATATCAGTTAATGTTTAACATTTAATCAACGAAAAAACAGAACCAATATTGAAATCTAACGAATTCATTATTTTTAATTACTGATAAAGTTTGTGACAGAAAAAAAAATTAAAGTCTGATAGATTTCAGAATTTTTGAAACACCTTCTAGTTAAACTATTCAATCAAATAGGTTTCGATGTCTTTCATCCCGATCTCATTAGTGATTCAGCATATTTCGATATCATTTTTATTTCGTTCTTACTTAATATTAATTTGTTTGCGACAGTTAATTTGTATACCTCTTTTACTAAATTTTCGAGGAGTTTAAAAATATGATATTGAAGTATTTAACTGAAATGAAATTTGCTTCTTTTGTATGCCTCTTTTAATCACCACACGCAACTGTCTACTCTAAATAATGCTATATAGAATGAGATAGCAAAACAATCGTGTGTAGTTATTTAAATTCTTATTCAAAAGTATTAATTTTTTTTTTGATCTGACAATTTCTGTCCCTTTTTAGATATTTTAAAGTGATATTTAAAACTGCTGCATATCACATGAAAGCATTAAATATATCATTTGTACAACTTCAAAGTAAAATAAAAGGGAATTCTGATCCTTAGAAACATATTAAATAGTCTGATGATCAAATGGTGGGGCGAAAAAAAACTTTTTTACCTTTTAAACTAAAAAATTCTTTATTTATAAATAACTAATACTCAAATTGCTTGAAAGATGATATGTTCCCTACTAATGACAATGAAGTTTTTTGTTTTATTCAGTGATTTAGTTATATTTATTATGTCCGACAATGTAAAAAAGAAAAAAAAATGCATTTTGGGGTTCTGAGAGCCCCAGCTCCTAATAAAACTTTGAAAAAAGAGGGGGGAAAGTAGGATCTGGGGACCCTTGTCATCTCGGGGCCCCAAGTTACAGCTTATTTAGCTTATACGCAAATCCGGCCTTGTTTTGAAGATATATGAAAATTAACTTTTATTATAAATTGTACGCTCTTTTATACACCTGCTGATATTTCATTTAGAACAGCGCATCGTATATATGGCCTTCATGTTTAATCATTCTTTTTCTCTCACTGTGAGAGCTAATTAAACTATGTTTAGAAAAAAATAAATGCGTCAATTTGTAACATATTTTGATAAGTGTTCATCATTATTTTAATGACGCTTTAGTTAACATTATTTGATGCGAAACTTTTCTTCAAATAATTAGCATTACATTTTGCTCTTTTCATTAAAAAAAAATACCACGGTCATTAAAGGTTCAAAAAATTTATACATTTTAACATCAAAATGAAACAAGTGGTTCTAAAAATCGCAATACATTTTTTAAATTTCAAATGAAAACTTAAAATTTTTTTCTTCATTGAACATTTTTCATCATTCAAATTATGTATTATATACAGTACAGAACCCGTTATCCGGAAATCAGAAAACCGGAAAACCAAAAAACCGGAACGAAATTCGATAAATTTTGCCGCCATTTTTGAAAAAAAAATTTTTTTTTTCCTCAGAAGATTTTAGGATTTTTCTTTCTTTTTTGAAAGATGTTTACCTTACCATCATTTTGGAAATAATCATTAGTGTATTACTTCATCGTT